TTTTTTTTTTTTTTTTTTTTTTTTTTTTTTTTTTTTTTTTATACCTGACAGGCAAATGACTCCACTCCACCTGATGTTAAGTGGAAAGTGGTATCCAAACGCGAAGGAACCTAGTGCAGCGATGGAATCCTCACTGCACTAGCCGCCTCCACCCTGCCTGCCTACAATATGCCTCTTCACGCCTCGTTTGAAGGACCCCATATCATAAGAGGGAGGGAAGACATGTGCCGGAAGGGAGTTCCATTTGTCAACCGTGCGGCAGAGAAAGGAGCTACCGAACCTTTTAGTACGCGATGGAATGCGGCAGGTAGTGAAACGGTGACTACGAAGGCCAGCACGCGTGCTTCTGAGCAGGAACGGGGAAGGGGGGATGAGGTTGAACAGCTCCTCAGAGCACTCACCATGGTACATGCGGTAAAAGGCGCTAAGCGATGCAACATCTCTACGCAGTTGCAGAGGTTCAAGGCGTGATGAGACCTCTTCGTCGCCTATAATTCGAGTAGCCCGACGCTGTAATTTATCCAAGGCATCGAGTAGGTACTTGGCGGAGCCGTCCCACAAGTGCGAACAATACTCAACGCAAGACCGGACCTGTGTTTTGTACAGCAGGCATAACTGGTCCGGCGTGAAAAAACGTCGCACCTTGTTCAGGACTCCGAGTTTCCGTGAGGCTGTTTTGATCACAGATTCGATGTAGCTCCTTGGATTCAAATCACAGCAGATTTCCATACCGAGCAAGGTGAAACTGCTCCGAGGTGAAAGTGCTGTGCTCATCAGAGAAGGCATGGGAAGGAACGGCGACAATTTTGTTGTTAACGCGCAAACCTGTGTTTTCTTGGCGTTGAACTCAACAAGATTACTGGATCCCCATGCAGATATGAGGTCCAATATCCTATTGAGCTCAACGACAAGATCAGATCGCTCTCTGTCAGTATCGGCGCGCCCAGCTGCGGGGAATCCATGATATCCCCCATGAACAGTGCTATCATCTGCATAACAATGAATATTCCCAAGTGGAAGCATGTCATTGATATGCAGAAGGAAAAGCGTGGGAGATAGGACGGATCCCTGCGGTACGCCGGCGTTCACATTCACGAACCTCGAAATGCTGCCGTCAGAAACGACGCGAATTCTCCGCTCACGAAGGAAATCGGCAATCCAGCTGCATAACTGGGCTGGCAAACCGTACGCCGGGAGCTTGGAGAGAAGAGCTTTGTGCCAGACCCGATCGAACGCTTTGGCTATATCGAGGCTAACAGCCAACGATTCGCCACGTTTGTCTATAGCCTCACCCCAAATATGCGATAAGTACGCTAGAAGGTCACCCGTTGATCGTTTCGGACGACACCCATACTGCCGATCATTAATTATGGAGTGATCTTCTAGGTATTGGGTCAGTTGTTTATTAAGGATCCGCTCTAAAACCTTGCATATTATGGAAGTAATGGCTATGGGACGGTAATTATGCGGGTCTGATCGGTCGCCTTTTTTGGGAACTGGTTGCACATTAGCCTCTCTCCAAGAGTCCGGCACACGACCTGAAGAGAGCGACAGACGATACAGTCGCGTTAGCACGGGAGTCAACTCAGCTGCGCAATTCCTAAGTACAATCGCTGGGATACCATCAGGACCACTAGCTTTCCGGACGTCGAGAGACTGCAGCTGCGTACGCACATCGCATTGTCTGATACGAATATCAGACATCGTGTAGCCACAGTGAGGTAGAGTTGGTGGCTGTGCGTTACAGTCGTCGAGACAGGAGTTAGCCGCAAACAGATTTGCCAAGAGGTCGGCTTTATCTTGCGGCTTGTGGGCTAGATTGCCGTCAGAATATCTCAGCGGTGGCAGCGAGGGCTGGCAGAAGTTCGACGCAACGGCTCTGGCCAGACGCCAGTAGCTACGACTACCTGTGGGATGCGTCAAGAGTTCTTGGCCAACTCGTGCGACGCGCTGAGCATCCGCTCTGATGTACGCTCTTTTGCAAGACCTGGTGGCATTATTGTAGGCTGTTTTAAGTGAGTTCGTATTGGGATCGTCTGAAGCTAGACCCCTGATCCAAGCGCGGTATGCAGTCTGTTTGTTCTCAACAGCCACAGCACACTCGCGGTTGAACCAGCGGTTGCGCCTCCCTTTACTGACGAGATCCGAATGCGGGATGTAGTATTCCATCCCGATTAAGATCTCATCAGCAACGGCAGTCGCGCTAGCTGTTGGATCCACCTCACTAAAACAGCGCTGCCGCCAGGGAACGGATGCAAAATAGTCCCGCATACCGTCCCAATCTGCCGACGCATAATGCCAAATGCGGCGTTTAGCCACAGTAGGTGGTGGTGGCAGTAACGTTGCCACTTTAGTGGATATCAAGCAGTGATCCGAAGTGCCCAGAGGGGCTTGGACCACCACCCGATATCCAGCCGGGCGAGACGTCAGCAGAAGGTCCAACAAAGAGGGCGCGTCACCAACCCTATCTGGAATCCGGGTGGGCTGATTCACCAGTTGGGTTAAATCGTGTGTGAGAGCGAATGTGTGGGCAGTTCTTCCAGCATGGTCAGTTTTAGAGGAACTTAACCACGACTCGTGGTGAGCATTGAAGTCCCCTAAAAACACCAATTCCGCTGTAGGAAACTGCGCCTGCGCGTCATCTGCCGCCCGAGTAAGGTGGTCCATGAGACGAGTTGTCTCTATGTCGCCGTGGTGGGATCTGTAGAGGCACATGTAGACACGGCAATGACTGCCCAGGTCAACATGTACCCCAAGGATGGAGAAGGAGGGGTCCTCCAAATGACGCAGACGGCGACAACAAACATCTGCCCGGACAAACAAGCAGACCCCAGCTTTCGCTTTGAAGGACTCTTCAAGCATATAGCCAGGGTAATTCAAGTAGCTGCTGTCAGCCGGGCAGAGTATTTGCGTCTCCGTAAGGAACAGCATTTCTGGTCGAGCCGTCTCAAGATGTTGATGGACGGCGTGGATGTTACTGTGGAGTCCTCGAATGTTCGTGAACTCCACCTTAAAGAGCGCTTTAGTGGTGGGGGTGTGCACCGCTGTACGACCGAAATTTGTACTTTGCGCTAACATGTTGGAGGGAAAAAGAGGCGTGAAGCGAGAAAACAGTGCCGCGACACAAGCGGTCAAATCGCGGGGCCTGCTTCCCCAGAGACTTGCCTACAGACAAGTTGCGCTGATCCGCCGGACGGAAGGGCCCCCGAACCCCCCCGGGAATGGCCGCCGGGACCCCACCTCCCGGTCACCAACCGGCACGACGAACCACACCGAGATTATGCGCGGCATGGTGAGGCAGCCTCACGAGCTGGTTAAGCACGCTTGGGCCCCTGTACTGTACCGCGGGCGGCCAGCGGAACAACCGTTTCTACGGGTCTCCCTGGCCGGCGGGTCAATGCAATTGTCCTGGCACTGGTTCGGCGGAAGCCTCCACAGACCACAAATGTCGCGGCAGCGTTCCCTCGGGCTCTGGTTGTACGCTGACTGATCCCGGAACGCATCCGACTAGCGAATACTTGGCGGGTTTTCCATCATGCGCACGGTGGTCACTAACCAGGCGGGTTTTCAAGCCCTTCCACCAGTGGAGCAGCTGGTTGCTCAATATCCCTTAGTCGCCTCTTACGACACCCACGGGAAGAGAGGGGCGGTGAATTGTATTCTAATCCGTCACCGCACGGATACAATGCATTGGAAGCGCATTTTTGTGGCTATATCATAATGAACTTCATGCCAATTGGGTAACGTATAAAGTGTCTAGTTTATAAGCCTTAAAAGAGTGGGTCTACTTCCGTTCTATGCCCGACATCCGTCCGAAACAATTACTGTCAAATAAGTAGCAGTAGAGCTCCTTGTGAAAAAGTCTGTCCATGGAAGTATTGCCACCTTACCTATTTCTGCCGCCAAGCAGTAATATCAGCAATATTGTGATCCGGCTTTGAAGGGTAAGGGTGCTGGTGAAATTATAGGGACATGGAACATTGTAACTTATGCCTCGGGGAGACGGGCGCAGTGGCAGTGCCCCTCAGATCTTTGCTATTTAAAGCTCTGAGTGGCACTGAGATTGTTATGGGCAGGCGTGTAGTTTACCACCAGACGCACGATATGTTCGTCCCGTCACTTAAAAACTACCTACTCGACAAAATCAAAACACAATGTCAAATATGAAGCTTCGAAGTTCGAGTATTATTTATTTCACAGTAATTGTTTTGGGCGGAAGTTGGATGGAGAAAGGGAGTAAACCCCTAGGTCGTCTTCGACGTCTTCCGGAGAATTCTCGCGCAGTATCGGGAATTACTCAATTATCATAAAATTCATTATGCTATGTATAATATCGTTATCAAAATTCGCATGCATCCAGTTTCGCGGCAATGTAAAGTCAGCCTTATTCATGTGAGTGAAACTTCAAATTAGAAATTAGCTGATAACTCAACTGATATTTCGTTGTAATCAACCTTATCCGTATAATAATAATAGTCATCATAGTAGTATTCTCTCGCATAATTCATCTTTTCGTCATACACCATATTATAATAATCTTTTACAGTTTCGTCATTATAAAGTTCATTATCAACTGTACTGTAACTTTTTCTCGCAGGAATTGCTCTGGTGGGCATAAGAAAGGGTTGTTCCGTAGTCGCAACTTGCTTCCTTGCATAATAATACAGTTTCTTTTTGTTACGTACACATTTGGGTATTTCGCATTTTTTATTGGGTCTAGTTGAAGTTGTATACTCTTCATAGTAATGGTAATCATGGTCCTGCCAGCTGCTTCTAGCAGTTGTTGTAGTGTCATCAACATAATAATACATATCATTCTTTTGGGGGGAAAAATACGCAGTGACATCGTTCTCTTCGCCATCGTCCTTTTTACTATCGTTCTCTTCGTCATCGTCCTTTTTACTATCGTTCTCTTCCGGAAATAGAATAGTTATATCGGCGCTAACATCTCGTACTGGGTATGATGGACTTTCTTCTGGTATTACATAAGTAGAGAATGTCCTCAAAGTGAATGGTATTGGTGGTTCCGTAGAACTAGTAGTCGAGCTAGTTGTCGTAGTTGTAGTAGGAGTAGTAGTAGTAGTCGTCGTAGAAGTAGTAGTCGACGTAGGAGTACTAGTCGTCGTTCTAGGAGTAGTAGTAGTAGTCGACGTAGGAGTAGTAGTCGACGTACTAGGAGTAGTAGTAGTAGTCGACGTAGGAGTAGTAGTAGTCTTAGTAGTGATAGTAGTAGTCGTCGTTGTCGGAGTAGTAGTGGTAGTCGTTCTCGAAGTTGTAGTTGACGTAGTATGTTCTAAAGTTGTTGATGTTGTAGTTGTTGCACTTGATGTTATTGGATTTATTTTCATAGAAAACATTATTGGAACCACGTACGGCAATATCATATACGTCATAGTTTTTGATTTTCTTGTGGTTGATTTTAGAAGACATCGTTTGCATTTATCTTTGCAACAATCTTGTACTCTTTCGTCAATAAGACTCATGAGTCTGTCGCAATCTTCACAAGAGCATTTGCAATTGTTCTGGTATTTTTTTTTATAGTTTGTTTTCTTATGTTCCGTTGAAGGGTTAGATATAGATGCACTATTGGATGAATTTTCCAAACTGCTGGAACCTGACGATGAGGAATAAGAATTTTCATCTTGTAGTGGTTGAACTAATCCAACTGTGTATTGAGGGATATACCGTTGTTGCCAATTAGAGTTAAAATAATTATAAGGCCATTTAGTACTATACCGCTCGTGAAATGCACCACTCGTTGTGATGCTATGGATAATCAAACAAGTTACTTGTATGTTGACGATCTGAAATATATGAACATACGCGTCAAAATAATTATTAATAAATTTGTTAAGGTCACTAACAATGGTTTGATCATATACTTACTACAAATGTCGAAGTAGCACTGGACATTCTTTTGCCAACATTGTAAATTATTAGGAAGATAATTAAAAGATAACGTGTGCATGTTTGCGTGGCATTTCGTACACCATTGTTTACATTGCTCGATGTTTGGTGAAACTGTTTTGTTCGAGAAACGCGATATAAAATGCTATCGCGGAGAAAGAAAGTCAAACCTATAAAATATTGCTTTTATTACTACTTCATGTGAAGTTATATGTTACGTAAACTTATAGGGTTCTATATTTACCGTGAAAATGCACAAACACCGTAAGCATCAAAATTTGTATTAACATAATATAAAAAAATACAAAACAATTTAAAAATTTAGTGCAGTTTACTATTACGCTATTTCTGTTTAAGTTTTCTTATTTGTGGAATATTTTTGTCATTTGTATTTAATTCCTTCATGGTACGTAATTTTAACAGGAGTTTAGTGGCTAATTCATCGGGTAGTGGCAATATTCCATATCTCTGCTTTTTATGTGGACTGTCACGCCTACTTGGAAAGTGTGGATATCGCTTCGCGTCATATCTTGCTCTGAAATCATTTCTAGATTGCATTTCGTCCTCATAATTACGGTGGGGTCTTACTAGCATTCTATTTGGTGGGTCTGTTATCCTGTCATAAAGCTGTCGATCTTTGACCACTATCATTCTAATATCACGCTCGTCATCATCTGTATTTTGTCGGAAATGGTACATTGGACTGATTTTGTCTTTTTTATTCGAAGATACTTGATAGTGGTCACTGTAAGGTCGTCTGTGACTTATTGGATATGGGTATTGTTCAAAACGGATTGCTTGACGTTTTCGTTCCATCGAGTTCATTGGCATAGGTGTTATTCTTGTAGATATTGTTGTAGAATATGTTGTTGTAGTTGATCTTGGTGTAGTTGATTTAAAAATTGGAAAGCTTGTGGATTCCATTAACTTGTCAGGAAAGATAATTTTTATCGTAGTGCTTGTAGATGTTCTCCAATGGTCTGTTGTATGTGTTGTTTCATTTGAATGGTCTGTTGTGTGTGTTGTTTCATTTGAATCGCCTGTTGTATGTGTTGTTTCCACTGTACTGTCTTTTGTATTTGCGGTTGTGAGATCTGTTGTTTGTGTTGATTCTGTTGTGCGTGAATTGTCAGTTGTGGAGGTTGATGGATCAGTTGTACAGTCATCAGGTTTTGATGAGGGGTAGGGCATTGGCACCGGAAGTGGTATTTGGAAATTAATTGGATAAGCCATGATGGCTATTCCAGGAGGCTGAGTAGCCACGCACTGCTCACAATAGTTAGGGCAACAAGAGTTTTGATTACTATTATTAGGTCCGCATTCTGAGCAAGTGCATTCTTTGCATTCTGTTGATCCTCCTTCGTCTCCTGACTTACATTCGGGGGAATTGTATTCGCTTTCACATCCTTTAATGTCTTTGCTATACGGTTTATTTTTGTACTTGTTCTTTTTCTTTTTGTTTCGCTTTCTGTGTCTCCTGCTTTGTTGTATTTCTACAGAAAATAAACGCTCGGGTGCCTCTTCTTCAGTGAGGTCGTTATTACTTTCGGTTGTTGGGTTTGCGTACCTGTAGTTTAGCATTGAATTTTGATAATAACCCGGATTGTTGTAGTTGCCATAGTAGTTTTCGGTGTAGTAGTTGTATTGTAACTGTAATGATGCATACTGGACGAAAAGTAAAACAAGTTGCACGTAGACAGCCTGGAAAGGTATATGAAAAAAATTATTTGATATTTTCCCAAGTATTTTTTCCCAAATTTCTCTAAACAGAACAGAATAATTCTGGCAATGAAACTATTTCGGATCTAAATCACATATAATTGTTTTTTGAAACAAAGTTTAAAAAAGTAATAGTTTCATTCCCAATGTGCAACAGCCTCGAAAACCTAAGAAATCGATGGAATAATACTCATTAATTAATCCAAATTAATATTATAAATGCGAAAGTAACTACTACATAAGGTGTAACGTTTTCACGCCTAAGCCGCTCAACCAGTTTTGATGAATAGAAATAGATGGGGCCTAGGAGAAGGACACAGGCTACTTTTTGCTACAAAATATATTTTAAAGGGGCAGAAATAGAGGAAGGTTTGTATGGAGAATTAATAAAACTATAGAAATACAATACTAATAGTATAAAGGCTCTCTAATTATTTATTCCATTTCTACGTCAACGAACTCGCAGGCATTAGCTAGTTGACAATATATACAATTGAGGAAGTGTTTGTCTTAATGCGTAATTCATTCAATAGTAAATGCACACGCGCTAAAGAGAGCTGGACTGGAAGGAGCTGAACAAATTTTAATAAACTGGTTTTGCTTGCAACTGGAAAAGACGTACTCTCCAAATTGAAAGCTCTGTGTAGTCACATGTACTCGTTAATAGAATGAACCTGTAAAGTACAGAAGAGGACATTTGAAGGTTAACAGAAGCGATGTTGATATTATGTATTATAGAAATCCTTATATGAAAGGAGCAAAAGGACACAAAAGCATTGTCGTTTTACTGGTATGTTATATACCATTGTATAATACTTACTAAAGAAATAAAGAGGAACTTATGAATCAAACTCTAATGCTGGTAAGCAAAACAAAAAATGTCCACATGATTTTGATACCTAGTAAGGAAGCTGGACGGATGCAGTGTCACTCAAAGCTTTAACGTGTGTACGTAATAAAACGTGTGCTTTCATGAATAAAGTCTAATTCGGATAACGCCTGTGTTGGAGCTCCTAGGTTAAATTTATGATTGAAGCTCTCACAAACAAATCGGTTCGATATATAAGATGTGTTCTTTAGCTCACTAATTATCACCTGCTTGAGGAAAACATCGTCATAAAACCTACCAGAAGGTTTCATCATCGGAAGAACCAATGCCCAAAATCGATACAGTTCTAACAAAAATAAAGGTGATTTCTAAATGAATAAAACAAAATTGTGTACGTACCAATCTAAACGTCATTGTTTTAATTTCTGACCTGCTTTTATGTTAACATTCTTTCGCGACAAGCGCACTTTAACTGAGTAAATTAACCTGGTGTTAATTTTCTTCATTGGTCGCAGTTACGTGATCTAAGGCTGCAAAATTCAAACAATGCTCTCAATGGAATTGTTCGGTAAACGTCTACATAGCCACATTTGATAGTAATAGTTGTGTAACCGATATTACTGAACGATTTGTTCGTCTTACTTCACCTTGGTAGGTTGAAAAATATTTTTAGTTACATTTAGTGCTTCTGTCTGCTGGACTAAAACTATGGAAGACTTGGAAAAGCAGCAGCTGGGTTTTGAAGAAGAGAATTCAATCAAGTTTGACGACCTCAGTCGGTGGAGTGGCTTGCACATCGGGTTTTATGGTGTCGCCATCTTTGACGTCCTGGGTTCGATCTTCGGCCGGATCAGTGTAGAAAAACTAACTTTTCTATATAGTCTCGAGTCTGGGTGTTTGTATAGTCGTTGTTTCCGATTTTCATAACACAAGTACTACATCGAGTTCTTAGGTTTTCGCGATTGTTACATATAGGGAAAAGAAACTATTTCTTCGGATCTATGTAGCGCTTATTTGTTTTTGTTTTTCAAACAAACCAACGTTTCGGATCCCATAGGACCCGTAGGTCCCGAAACTATGAAAAAAAAAAATACGCGATTTAAACCCGAAAAATAGCTTCAGTTCCTAAAAGTACTTTAGTTATGTGATGTTGTTAATACCCCTCCTAGCGTCGTATACCTTATTGCTGAGGGTCGTGACTCCCCCACGGAGACAAGCTACGCATGACAACGCTGTGCCATCTGTGGCGGTCTTTTGCATAGTAAAGGGCATCATGGAGAACCATGCCGAGAGCTGCACAAACTTGGTCGGACCATCTTGTGGGACAGCGACCCCTGAAACGTTTACCGTCGATACGTCTGATGACCATTAGTTGTTCGAGGTTCTGCCCTTCTTTCCTGGCTATGTGACTAAAGAAATCAAATATCCTACGTAGACTGATGTGGACGATAAGTTCCTGCAAAATTGAGTCGTTGGTGCGAAAATCTATCCAACGGACTCCCAAAATTTTAATCCGGCACACATGTCGAAGGCGTCAATGAGGTCACGTTCCGCCTTTTTTAGTGTCCACGTTTCTGCTCCATAGTTAAAAATGGTAAACACCAAAGAGCCCACCAATCTCATCTTAGTTTTACGCGTGATGTCCTTCCATACTCTCTGCAGTTGGGCCATAGCACCTGTACCTATTCCTATGTTGCTTAATATAATATTAGGGGTTAAAGTATGAAATTGCCGTTTTATTGCAATAGGTTCTTTGAATTTTCATAGAATCTTCATGGTTTGAGGTTTTCGAATGAAACTTTTTTCAAATGGTTTCTTGATTTTTTTTTTTTAAATTTGAAACATTTGAATATCGACTTTCAATTGTTTTTGTTATTCAATTTAGACAAGAAAGATGGATACTGCGAAAATTCGAGTGATTTTTGAATACGAGTTCCGACGCGGAACTAACGCGGCAGAAACAGCCCGCAATATCAATGCTGCGTTTGGAGAGGGGTCTACTAATGAACGCACCGTGCGATTTTGGTTTAAACGCTTTCGTGATGAAAATTTCGACTTAAAGAACGAGTCACGAGGAAGACCGCCCACACAGGTGAATAACGATGAATTAAGAGAGATAGTGGAAGCCGATCCTAGTCAAACTACCCAGGAATTAACGGCATGGTTTAACGTTACCTTACCCACAATATTGACTCACTTGCGTCAAATCAATAAAATAAAAAAATACGAAAAATGGGTGCCTCATGATTTGACTGATCTGCAGAAAGAAACGCGTGTTGAAACTTGTGTTGCCTTGTTGAACCGGTACAGAAATGAAGGAATATTGGATCGAATTGTAACATGTGATGAAAAGTGGATTCTTTATGATAACCGGAAAAGAAAAATGCAATGGCTGACCCCAGGTCAAATGCCACAACAGTGTCCTAAAGCAAAACTTACCAATAAAAAGGTAATGGTAACTGTTTGGTGGTCTCAGCATGGTGTTATTCACTATAGTTTTCTCCGATCTGGTCAAGCAATAACGGCAGATGTCTATTGTGCCGAACTCCGAACCATGTTGACAAAACTAGCAGTAAAACAGCCCCGACTCATGAATCGATCTTCACCATTATTGCTCCACGACAACGCGAGACCTCACACAGCACGAGAAACCATTTTGACCCTTCAGGAACTGCAGTTAGAAACCATTCGTCATCCTCCGTATTCACCAGACCTTGCTCCAACGGACTATCATTTTTTTCGTGATTTGGACAATTATCTACGTGACAAGAAGTTTTCTTCCCAGGAGGCAATACAAAATGCTTTCACACAGTTTGTGCAGTCTAGATCGTCGGAGTTCTATCGCAAAGGCATTAATAACCTTCCCATTAGATGGCAGCAATGTATAGATAATAATGGCAACTATTTTGATTAAATAAATTTGTTAAAAATTTAAAAAATAAACAATTTAGATTTTCAGTACAAATCGGCAATTTCATACTTTAACCCCTATTATATCTAATAATCAACACACTAAAAGATGGCAAATTTACCCGTTGATTGGCAATAAATAGAGGTTTAAATTCGCTTCACTAGTATCCAAAGGTAGTTTTAATTTGTTGGCGAATAATGCCACGGACAAAAGCAAGTATTGTTATGAAGAATAATTAAAAGATCAATTTTAATGTTCTGATTTCTCGAGGCGATCTTTAGTTGTCAAACTCGATTGAATCTCAGAACTTACCGCCCCGATTAGCGTTTAAAATTAGCTTTTCTCGTCTTTGGCACATTTCTTGAGAGTTGATGACGTCACGACGCGGGGGCAGGGGCGAAGGTGGCCGGGTCACGACCTCCACTCCTGAAATAATCGCAGACGTGGAAGAGAGCCAAACTGCGCACGAGTTTTGGGTAACGCTGGAGGTGAATTGAGCGTGGGTTTTAATTTTAAAGAAATTGCAATAAATATTGTATTGTATGTTATGTCCATTAGTTTTTAGAGACTTTGGTAACAGGAAAATTTCCTACTAACCATACATATATAATAAACAGGGTGTAACAAAAAGTCCTGTTAGATGGTGATCGTAATAACGAACTTCAGCAAAATTATACATAGTAATTAGCGAGAATTCCTTTTTAAAGAAAATGCATGGCTTATCGGGTTTATAGGTATGATTACCAGCTCAAATAACGGTGTCACCACCTTTGTTACTTACTGTATGTGTAGGGTTGTTATGAATGTCTCAAAATTGGTCTATAAATGATATGTATTTCTTGTAATATGACAACTAGTTTGTTAGACAATTTCGCAATGTAAATGTCTTATAATCGTTTAGTTACAAATAAAGCGTTATTACATTTTCATTATGTTACAATAAAGCCGGGCTCGCTGTTGATACTGTAGCAAGCGTTAAAGCCAATATTTGTGTACCGGCGCACGAGCAGCGGCAGCGGGCGCAGGGCGTCGGGTCACGACCTCATCGCGCCAGATTTAGCTCTCGACGCCGGCACCTGTCTGCCAACTGTGACATCTCCTTTTGCCCAAATGCCCGGACATGTTTGTTTTCGTAAACAGCTATTAACGTGTGAAAAAACACCGAAATATATCTACAACGCTGTTATCTACACTGTAGGAAGGAGAGTTAACAATAACTGTCATACCTTATTACCTATGAAATTAAATTAAACGAAATGTTGATTTATTTTTTCTTGTTACAAACTAACTTAGGAGTATCGGGCAAATAGTGAGACCGGTGCCCGAGAGAGGCTTAGGAAAAATCTGTATTACAGGTCACCTGGCTTCCACTCTGCAGACGAGCAATAAATTTATAGCATAGTGGTGGTGGTGGAAAATTGTACAATTATTGATACTTACTAAATAGTGATATTGATTATTCGAGGTCCCCGAATATTATTTGTTTATTTGCGTATGTTTCTAAAATTACCCTTTTGACCACCATAGACAATAAAACCATCAGTTGTTTGTATATTTTAGTTAAGTATGGCATCATAGTTGAAATTTAAGTTCAGTTATGTTTTTGTTTAACTTAGAAGAAAAAAAAATAAGGTTAAAATTCATAACATGTCACGTCACCAGACTTGGCGTCTAGGAAACAAAACTAGGTTTTGTGAGTGGCGGTCAAAAGGTTAAAGTAAGCTTATTATAATATTACTCATATTCGTACCATGACGAACTTGTCAACCAAGCAATGTATTGTTGCTAAAGTGATTGAAAGAACGAATGATTTCCCAATATTGTCTATTCCTTACTAAAAATAGGAAAGAGATAACGTTATGTGAACTATATGGTGCCATCTCTTTCTTTTTTGATGTTCCGAATCATCTTATAGCATAATGTTTACATAAACATGTAAGTACTAATGTTTTTTACATTCAGAGAATTTTGACTGTCAAAAAAATAAAAGTATGAAATAATAAAATCTATTAAAATTACGTTGTTTTCAATAATTATTCCGCATTTTCATGAAGAAAAATAAATAAAACAAGCTGGGTCTTGATAGTCACGTTATGATTCGGAACTATAGTCTAGTGTCAACTGTTAATTTCACCAAGGAACATATAGATGGCGCTGTTATAATTTTACGAAATAAACATCGCGTATTTTTATTTAACAAAAAATTGTTTATTATGTGCTATTAAATAAAAAAATAAACAAAATGTTGAAGAGATAAGTAAATGAATAAGTTCAACTTAACTTTTAAACATTACAAATCAATATTACTGTAACTACAATAAAACTGAAAATAATATTGTTTCCATTGCATCCCTTTAACTATTTTAAGATTGCTAAACTTGACATAAGAGCAATATTACTTTAATGTTAAAGTCGCGTCATGGTACAAAATGAGTGAATGAATAGTCACAAAGCTGTCAATAAAACATCATAGTTTTAACATTACAATAGCTTACTTTAAGTGCGTTTTGGTACGAAAAGTCAATGTAAGGTTAAAGTAATATTGTTTTAAGAGGTTGTGGTAGGCCCCCTGATCATAGACACTTGTGTAGGGAGTGCTTTTTGATAACTAAGTACAGACAATTGTTATAATTATTAATGTAAAGATCGAACACTTAGACAAAATTCCTTCGATCCTGCTGGATTCGAACCAGTATTTTCAAGCAAACCAAAACTGAAAGACCAAAAACAAAATCCAAACGCATAGAAAAATTCATAAGGCTCGCTTGTTTATTCCGTGGCTTAGTTGGCAAAGCGTCTGGTACGGTTTGCTAAGAGACGTCGTCGGTTAGAATCCAGCTGTATCGAAGGATTTTTTTCTAAGTGTTCGATATTTGTATGAATAATTATATCAAACTAGTTGAGTAATTTCACAAAAAATAATTAAATATCATGGTGGTCAAACATCGTGACCTAGATTAAACTTAAAAAATACAGGTAGATAATTGTGTAATAGTAAGAACATCCTATAGCTTGTAAAGATCAATACCTGAATAAGAACCTATGTAAAGGAGAAGTTATTATATATATATTATATATATATTATTATAAACAAGTCATAAGTTCCGGTTTGGTTCGTAAACTGTATTTAGGATACAGGTAAAAAGTGACTAAAAGCCAGATCCTAAATATTTCTTTTTTTCTATTTTTTCTTCTTTTTTCTTTTTTTCTATTTTTATATTATTTCTTTCATTGCGGAATAATTATGTGGTTAGGTCATGTAGAAAAAATGAATGTTGGTAGATTGACGGCACAAATTTATAGAGCGAACGTGGATGGAGGCGTTGGGAGCGTTAGACGCCACCGTACATAGTTTTAATCAGATTGGGGATGTGTTTAAAAAAGGCGTTTAAAAATAACAAGAATAAACGGGCATGTCTGAAGTGCCTGATGGAAGTGGAGGAAGGTTTATCAGGAGCGTAACAGGTGGATGTCCGTGGTCTTTGCCTCGCCCAGTGGGAGACAGACGTGATGATGATGTATTATGTGTTGCTGAGTAATACTTAGTGTGAGATAGCTGATTTTTTCTTTCGATTTCAGACGAGTCGCCATGGTAAAATAATTTTTCCTATTAATACCTCCAAAACGCCTCCATTCGGTTTTTTTTATGACACTAAATGATGGGACGAACAAGTCATGCGATCGGTGGCAACCGAGACGCCTGTTCATAGCAGTTGCAGTGCCAGTCAGAGTTTTAAATCGCAAAGATCTGAGTGGCACTGCCACTGCGCCTGTCGCCCTGAGACAAGTAGACAAATCCCATATGCCATGGAACGCAGTAATGCTCACATTACTGCTTGGCGGTAGATATAGGTAAGGTGGCAGTAATTCTCTGGGCGAAGGACACAAGGAGCTCTACTGCTACGACTTAAATAATCCCTAAAGAGACTAAGGGTCGTATTTTAGAACTCTACTCAATGCTCAAGTCAGGATTGCACTGGAAATACGACCCTAATGGCAGGGACTTGAGTGTGATTTCGAGTGCTTTAAACCATACTCAAATCCTGACTTGAGCATTAAGTAGAGTTCTAGAATATGACCCTAAGAGTCGTATTCCAGAACTCTACTCAATGCTCAAGTCAGGATTTGAGCAGACTTGAGTATGATTTCAAGCACTGGAAATACGACCCTAATGGCAAGGACTTGTGTATGATTTTCAGTGCTCACTGCAATATTCAAGTCCTGACTTGAGTATTGAGTAGAGTTCTGGAATACGACCCTAAGAAAAAAGGGAATTGCTATTTCGGTTTAACAACAGGAAGTAGGTTAAAAATATAAAAGTTGGTTACAAGTACTCATAAAAGTTCAATAATAGATTTTGGTATGAAAGTTTCATGAAAAGTGGTATGCAAAGTGTTACTCATTCTTCTCAGGGGAATCTGCTTTACGAATGAGTAGTAGAGTATCATGTGTAATTTGATTACCTATGAAATAAATATTAATTGAGTGTCCATGACACTAGCTGGGAATATACAAATATTTCAATTACATTTCTGGATTCCAATATCGTCACTAAATGAAAATATCACTTTTTCAAATTTAAAGTGTAAAACATAAATTTTAAAAACTATTTCCCGATAGGTGACAGATTTGTTTAATGACGACATTGATTTCAATGTCAGATATATAAAAAGTTGTTGAAAATTTATTTGTTTTGTTTTGTTCCTGGCTAAATTTAGCTTAGATTTTCAAATACATATCATGGACACTGAATATGCATTTAGTTTTTTTTTTTCGTTCATTTCAATTGACACAGTACCCTCAGAAACCCAAGTTTCATATGCTAAGTGATTAAAATTATTTTTGCGTTATTATTTTGTAATACAAAAGAAATGTTCATAAGTTTCTCACAGGTGTCATTGACGGGGATAAAGCCATTTTAGACCCAATAAAAGATCTAACTACAAGCACTTAGAGAAATTTATAAGATCTGCTGACTAGATCTAGAGCTCAGTTGGTAAGAGCGATGGCTCGGTGTGGCAACAATCGCTGGTTCGACTCCAGTCAGATCGAAGGAATTTTTCTGTGTATTGCTCGATCTTTGTATCATTAATGATAACAGACTAGTGAAGTAGCACACAGAAGAGTTCGTTCAGGAAAGTACTGCGTGGCATGTTCCATAATTCTGCCGCCAAGTGTTTTGACGGGTAAGGTTGCTAGTGAAATTACAAGGTCATGGAACTTGTTAACTTATGTCTCGGGGTGACGGGTACAGTTTTAATTACTAACATTACTATGGATCATGGTCTGAAATAAATAATTCTATTCTATTCTGTTGTACAGTGGCAGTGCCACTCACATCTTCGCGATTTAAAGATCTGATTGGCACTGCTACTGCTACGGACAAGCGTGTCGCTTAATACTACGAGCACGC